CTATTACCTGACAACATGGCAGTAATAGATAGGACCTCATTAGAACAGTTGTAGTCACAACTTGCAATAACCATTTTAGCCAGTTGTGGGTCCAATGGAAATTCAGCCATCATGGATCCCAACTCAGTCAAGTCTCCATCATCATTTAAAGCAGCCAGATAATTCAAAAGCTCCAAGGCTCTCATCAAAGTTTCAGGAGCTGAAAGAAAAATATTTAAGTACGCACATTAATCGAACTGCTCTGAATAAGCAAAAAATGAGGAAGCACAGACTATTATAAGCCATCTTATTGCTCGTTCTCCATTCAGCTGACTTCCAAACACAAAATTGTTACCAAATTCAGTTATATACATCCAGACATGAATGAAGGGGGGGGGGAGGGGGAAATAACTTATTTAAAAGAACTCTTCACTGGATCAAAAGCTTTGAATATTTGAAGATTACTGCTTTTCAAAATTCAGACAGCAGTGGCATTGTGAAATATGCAGTATCATAGTAATAACACTCCCCCCCCACCCCCACAATGCATTGATGCGTTTTCCACTGTTCCATACTAAATAGATTGATACAGTCCTAAAATTTCAGCCATATCAACTTTAGATAGCTATAGTCTTTCACAAATCTGAGCCTGTAAGAATGTTCTCTTAATCCTGCATTCCTCACAGCAAGTGTATATTACAACCACAAAGAAAAACAGAAAGAAATCCTTAGCCTTCCTGGCTAAGCTATCATACATGCTGCATAACACAAAGAATGCAAATGTTCTGTAGAGCTATTTAAAAGCTTACAGATTATAAATTATATTTTTATTTTAGGGGGGAAAAAACAACCAACTTTGATGTATTTATATATGCCTGATCTACATTTTTAATTAGCAACATAACCCAGTTATTTTTAAAGTATATATGAACGTTTAACACTGTTCGAAGGGAGATGCACATTAACTTTATATTTGAGCCAAAAACATGTATTCAGCATTAAAAGCGCTAGTCAGTTTTATTTACATACAGTTGTTAACTGATGCACAATTAGAATGTGTAATCAAGGTGATAAGTAAAAAAAACCTCATCAAGTAATAGATTTTCTAATGCCCATAATTTTGTCTTATCCTCTGCAGGTAAGGGGCATTCAGTAGATTCCTTGGTTCTATTAAAAGCTGTTATGCAGACAGAAACATAAAAAGTTTGCTTTGATAAGACACAAAGCACTAAATTTCAGGATAAACAAAAGACATTCCTTATGGATTACAACAAAACCAGTGAAAAAAACATAAAAGAATTTATCCCATGTTGCTACTATATAAAACATTCACCAAAATAAAGATTTCCGAAGTCAAAACGTAACATTTACAGTAGACAAGATAAAACAGAAATAGATACCTGGAGGATCCATAAAGTCAAAGTGCACCAAATCATCTATACCAAGCTTCTTGAGCTGCAATACTACAGATCCTAAGTTAGACCTCAAAATTTCAGGGTATGTGTTGTCCTGAGGGGGGGAGGGAAAAAAGAAAATTCAGAACACTTGTTCTTCCAAACACTTTGAACTACACAAGCATTTACATTCTGATTTTGTTTGGTAGCATGGCACTCAACTACCTGTATCGATCAGATATTCTTACATACACAATCTAAAAAAAGTAATCTTACCTGCATTTCAGTTTTGTAAGCCTTCTCTGTATAAAGCCTGAAGCACTTGCCTGGTCTAGTTCGACCAGCACGGCCAGCTCGCTGCTGAGCAGAAGCTTTACTAATCGCAGTCACCAAGAGAGACTCCACTCTGATACGAGGATTGTATACCTATTTGAAAGTGGAATCAGAGCAAGAAAGAAAGAAAAGAATGAACACTACTCATGGATAAGACAACTATCTAAAAAAAATAGAGACTGCTTTAAACTTATTTTCAAACGCAGCTTCTGACTAGGAAACCACAAGTTGTATGTATCTGAAAGGAGAAAAAAAAAATTGGCTACAAAAGCCTTTGGATCAGTGACAGAAAGCTTCAAATACAACTGCCTGGAGAACAGCATTTACTTTTTATTCATTTGTTAACAACTCCTGCCAGGCTCCCTGTCCTCCTTAAATGTGTGTATTTTTAGATAAGATTTTCATGGCAGACGGAACGTGTTCAATTTGTTCTATAGAGTGCTAAACACACTCTTGACGCTCAAATAATTCCATAAAAAAAAAAGCTGTCTTGATACAATTATAAGGTTGAATAGTCATGTTCCAGAGGTCAGAAAAATCTAACATTAAGGTTGAACGCAACTGTAAAAATCAGACCGATGACAAAGCAAGACTGTATTTCAAGGAAGGGTACATGCAGACTGTCACAGTACAAAATATAAACTGGAATTTACTGTAAAATTTCCATTGCAGTCATACATAAACAGCAGCCTTGCCAATTCATTAGGGCTCATGGAAAAGAATATACTGAAAAAAAAAAGTAGTAGTCAGATAGTAGTTTCAGTTGAAGATGTTCTTTGGTCAATGTTTTAACACCCTCCTGGTGTGAACAGGTATTAAACATGTACAAAAAGTTTATTTCTTGTTACAGAAGGTATTCTTCCACTATAAGAACTACTTGTGAAAAAACCTCAGCCTAAATGGTGATTGAAACTTGCGTATGAAGATGTATTGACTGTACTCACATTCTGCTGCATCTCTCATTTTGCAAAAGTTTAAAAGGCTGACAATGTGTACAAATATTAAAGGAAAAGTCTAAGAAACCAAGTTATAAAGACAGTTACAGTTAGTGAAAAAACTAAATGAAGATTAAGAGATTTATATTTTATCCTTTCTTTAATTATTGGGTTGACTGTAGGCAAGCTATGTCAGTTCTTCTGAAGAAGCCATGATATTCCAAGAAGCATAATACAAGCTCGATGACAATCTTCAGGGCTGCAACAGTACATGATAAATACTGACAAGAAACAATACTACCCTAGGTATCATTTCTCTCTCTCATTTTAGCACTGGAGTATTCTATGCTAAGATGACTTAAAAGAAGAGGTGGCTTCTAGCACCATTTTTATTTACTTTCATATGATCTCTTGATTTTACTTGAGCATTCTCAAGCATAAACACACAGTACAAAACCACCCTTCCTAAAGTATCTAGGAAATACATATTCCAGGCCTAACTCAAAATCCTCACATTTCAGTTTTCTGAAAATAAAATTCTTGTGCACTGCACTGTTCAAAAACAAAACAACCACAGTCAAGATTTCAATTGGGCAAAGACCTATCAGTGTTTTACAAAGGGAAGAATATCTAGGAAATACATATTCCAGGCCTAACTCAAAATCCTCACATTTCAATTTTCTGAAAATAAAATTCTTCTGCACTGCACTGTTTTGGATTGTTCTAGGTATCTAAAGTTTGCAGACTAAGTGAAAACCTACCATAAATTAAAAATAAAACAAAAACAGAACAACCAAGGTCAAGATTTCAATTGGGCAAAGACCTATCAGTGTTTTACAAAGGGAAGAGTTACCTGAGCAAACCAGATTCCAGTATCTTTCCTACTATAAAGAAAGAGAAAACGAAGTAGTATTTACCTTCTGTTTTGCAAAGCCAGGATCAATCACGAACACAACACCATCTATTGTTAATGATGTCTCAGCAATATTAGTGGACACAACCACCTGTTGAAAAAGAAAACAGTAAATGTAACTACTTTGCCCTGAAGATGAAGAGCTCTGATTCCGTCTCTGCACCAAGGATTTTTGGCAAACCTTTCTTCACTTCATGAATAACTACTAGAGCTGTGCTCCAACACTTTTACAGGATGGTCTGAAATCAACCAGATGAAATTCTGCTGAAATCAGAGCAATTTTTGTCCACTGTTTCTGCTCCCCTATGTCTCTATTAACAATGTAACAAATGTTAGTTTTGAGAAAAATAAACAGAAGAGCAAATATTTTATTTACAAAACCTCTATTCAAATTTTTTCTCATATCTCTGGCACAAAATGGCAAGTTACACTGGATCCCTTTAACATCATCTGTTAATTCCAGCTTTTTAACTTTTTTTTTTTAAAAGCCTAAACAGGGCAAACTGGTTAAATAATATTAAAACAAAGGTTATATAACTGTACCAGCATAGTATGTTCTTTTACTTTGTTTGGAATAAAGCAGTTATCTATACATTCTAGCTAAAATCCTGAACAATATATATTTAATTTCAACTTTGTCTTTGCAAACATCTTGACATATTTTTAAGGTTACATTCTTAAATTTCTATAATCTTTCAGAAGGTTAAGTCTCATGCAAAAACTAAAGCACAGGTGATATCCAAGTTCTGAGGCTTGATTCGGCATCATTCAGATTTTATGTCCAGAGATGCAGTTTAACAGTCTATAGATATCATTAGCTTTCATCCCAACAGTGACCACATTAAATCACATTATTAGCAAGTTTAATCAGCTACCTCAGAAGAGACCCAAAACCCATTCAGCACTTTATCAAAACTACTTACCTTTCACCTCTTAATTTCAGAGCATTCCATCGTCATTTTTTTTCAGTTTAGCAGTTAGAATTTGAGACACCCCTAACAATTTGTCCAGAATTACAATGAAGCCAATAGCTGGACTAGATTGACAATCCTGCTGATTTCTCTCCCTCCTGGCTCATCACTTTGCCAGTCAGTTACTTATTACTCTCAGCTTGTCTCTTCTTAAGCACACTTAAGGTCTAAGCTTGCTCAAATACTACTATATATTGAAAGCAGTATTTTGGTGAAAGAAAATTTGAAAATAACTTGGAATTATGGTGTTCCACCCTGAAACGATGTGCTACTTAGAACTCCTCAAATAAACAAAACCACCATACACTTTCATTCACAGGTAATCTGCAGATCAGTCAGAGATAAAAGCCACAAACATCAATGCAATTAAGTGCTGACATAAAAGCACAATACATTTTCATTAAAAATCTGCAAGTCATTAAATATGCAAATGCAATAGCACTCATGTTAAAAAGCTAGTCAATCCACATTCAGCTTGCTGTTACAGAGTGTACTTTACCTAAAAAGTCTCAGTTTTTTCTGGATCTACTAATCTATAGAAGCATCCATATCCAGAATCTTCAAATACCAATTACAGTGCAGCATCAAAAGGTTTTGGTCCTGCTTTTAATCACCGATTTCTATGAGGTCACTTCAACACCAATAACTCAATACTGTTAGTATGCTTAGTCCACAAAGGTCCAGCAATTTAACTTGTACTTGAATTTACTTAACTTGTACTTAAATCGTACAGAACCTTCCAAAAGTGGAAGGAAAAACCAGTTATTTACACAATGGATTCTGTTGTATGTACAGACCTCATTTGTTAGTGTCACACTGCTTAAAAAACATAATTGATGAATGTAAAAAGACAATAAATTTAAGAAAAAACTTGAGGAAATTAAGCCACATCTTTCAAGCCTAAATCAAAGTACAAAGTTACTTGGAAATTAAACAAATGAAATTAGCGCTAAACTATGTAAAATAATAAATTGTACCTAATTAGCTTTAACTGCAGTTTTGCAATTACTGAAATGGGTACATTAAAAATGTTTTTAAATATCAGATTAACAGTTTGATATACTAAAGAGTTTAGAGATTAATTTAAATAAGTTACTTTGTAACTTTTATATTTTGTATTAAAATATACATATTATCTATATATAACATATATCTATATTGCATATGTATTAATTAGTAACGTTTAAGACTCCTGAAACAGAAAATAGAACGCAGTTTGGAAAGAACAGATAAGATAGGGGAGTAGAAAGGCTCATTGTTAAGTCATCATCATCTTCCTCCACAGTATAAATGAAATATTCTGATTAACTGTAACCAATAAAAGCATTTTTTTGTCTTTAATCTTAAGCTTTCTTGCAATAATAGCTGATCTTGCCTAGCACATCTAAGAGGACCAAAAAAGTGCTAAGTTATCAAGCTATATCAGTATAGCTGTTACCATCACTACCACTGCAAGATGCCACACAACTTCCAGTATCTTACTTTTCTTTCACAAAGTTAAGCTCAGGAGACACTTACTCAGATACTACAAGCACTTCACTTAGGTTTTATGACCATTAGAGCTTTTGAAATGATTCAGATCTCTTGCTAGCCCTCTCTCCTCAGCAGTTCTAAAAACTAGGTTCAACTCCCACAGGAGACTGTGAAAGCAGACATTTTCTAAGATAGTAGAGGCCCAGCAACAGATAGTCCTACTTTTCATATCCTGATCACTAAGACTAACTGAAACTAAAACAACTTTTAAACAAATTTACAACACACACAGACACACTTTCACTCATTGCAAGATTTGTTATGGAGATAAAAAAACAAAATACAGAAGTCAGAACATTTCAGCCAAAGGAGGCAAAGAGGGAAAGTGGTCTTAAAAAAAAACCAAAACAACCCATAATGGATTTATAGGTCTGAATCTGTTCCTTATGTATTTTGTGCCTGCTTTTGCCTACAGTTGATATCTTTCCAGCTTGGCAATTTTTCTTGTAGTAAAATAGTTGCTACACAGAATATCTTCCTCTTAGACACTGGTACTAGCTTTGTCAGTTCAACATAATGAAAGCCACACACTGCATCTGTTATCCTTATCAAGAAAACCAGAAACTGCTTATTTTGAAGTGCACAGTTTTAAACATGAATGAAAATTTAATGAAATACACAGCTATCACTTGTTCATCACTGAAAAGCAATTTCATTCATTTAAGTCATTTGCTAATACAATCTTGTTGCAGCATTAATTTCATGATTTCATATTGAATTCTTTCTGCAATCAATTTCAATAGAAAAGAGAGGATCATTTCACTAATTTAAGTGACTTTTCTTCCAGAACATTAGAAAGTTGTCACTAGTATTCTACATGCATTGTACTGCACAAAAAAAGCAAATAATCAAGGAACAAACGCTGCCTAGAGCAGATAGTATGATTCAGCTTTGACCTTCAAAATCTTAACTTTGTGATCGCTACAGTTTCATATAGCATTAGTTTAACTTGAGGAAGCTCTATTAAGACTTCCAAATGTTCAGTTTTAGTTCAGTTTTAGAGAAATAGCCACATAGTTTCTAATGTGGTTTATGTGAGCATTCAGGAACTGAACTATTAATTTTTATGAAGAACATTCACTAGCGCCATTTCAAGTTTTTCAGTTTCTCAATCCATTTCGCCCAATGAAAGAATCTCAATTTCTTGCTTACTATTACAGAAAACACGAACCTCTAACTTCAATGTACTTGTTTCAATTTGCACCTTCTCATAAACTTTGAGAAACAGACAAAACCTGCCTGATAACATCCCTTGAAGAGATAGTCCATTTTGTTTCCAAAAAAAAGCGTGTCAGAATAATTACTTAGTGAAAAAAATCCCATCCCTCCACGTAAATCATGTGGTTGTCAAATTCAGTATTTAATCTGACTTACCTTATTTCTCCTAAGAAACTTAAATGAATGCCACTCCCATTCAGTCAAATTGTTACTAGAACATTCTGGCCTTATAGATGGAAGCCAGAATTTTGAATTGCACTGAGAAACAAACTCCAAGTTATCTAAAAATTTTAATGTGATAAAATATGGGATTATTAAGGCTTCATCAAAAAAACCTTCTGCTTATTGCTGTCCAAATACACTTAGAAGAGCTGAAACTCATATTTAATTGCCCACACAACTGTGAGTAGCTAGTTACTGAACAGCATACTAAAACAGCACATTATTTACCTTTCTTCCTATTGCTCCGTTTTGTTTTTTTGGCGGGGGAGGTTCAAAAATCCTTTGCTGTTGCTGTGGAGGAAGGGTGGAATACAATGGAATGATTTTGATGTCACCAACTTCAGGGCCTAAATCATCAATTTCCCGTTTTATCCTCTTGCAGGCTTCATCAATCTCCTGCAAAACAAAAATATTGGTTAAAAGAGAACCCCATGAAAAAGGCAGCGCATTTTATTTTAGAGTGCCTTATGACAATTATATTAAGTCTACACCCTGAAGAACAATTACAATAACTTCTACTTTAAAAAAAAAAATTCAGAAAAAAGAAAAATCAAGGTGCTTACTGAATTTGCAATCGAATTTCCACAATACTTCAAAATGCTTCAGCTTCTATACTCTAATGAACAGCCTAATTTGCATTCAACATCCTTTTTCTTTTAGTCATGTTTCCTAATTAATTCTCTACAAATTGTACTAAAATTGAAATCTCTCACCCTGGAATATTAAACTGCACTCATGACCTTTTCAATTTTCACAATCTAAAAGACATTGATGTGCAAGATATTTAAAATAAGCCAATTAAGCTTTAATGTCACGTATTGCTAATGCGATTATATGGAAGATTTGCTTCATTGTACCTAACGAGAACAAACAGTATAAACACGGATGCTGAAAACCAAACCTCTCAATCCAGTGTTTCAGATTTTACTTTAAAATTAACTGAAATACCATTTAAGCTTAAGAAAAGTCAGTGAAATACTCTGAAGATGAGAAAGATTCTTCATGCCTTTTTTACCTTAGTATTTTCTACAGTATTTGCTAGCCTATTTTCTGACTAGCTTACCATACAAAAGAGTTCACCACAGCCCAATCATTTATAATGCCATTTCGTTTTAGAACAACTACATTTAAGTCAGCTAGGTGACCTATAATTATGACAAGACTTAATGAAAATTAAAGTACACAGAAATTTAGGTTAATGAATTAATTAACTTCACACAATTCATTAACTTCACCTTAAAAATTACAACAGAGCCTCCACTGGTATAACTAAGAGGCACGCTTGCCAACTATTGATATTCCAGCTGAACCATTGATGGGAGAAAGAAGTCATCATGACAAGAAGCAACAGTAGGCGAGAGTAAAAAATGGCTACAACATACTCTGACAAAAGAGGCCAGACCTCCCTTAACACAAATAATTCACCAGCCTGAAGCCGAAGCGATACTTAATTCCCTCAAGCAAATATACAGAACAGGTTAATCTAAAGGCTCTGTAAAATTTAAACTATAATTAGAAAAGCAAAAGTAGCCTCCTTTTTCAAAACCATAAATTCAGACAAATCCTGGAACAAATCTGGGTCTTTTTCATTTGTTCTTAAAGAGACTTGTAAGTTTTCAGCACAACTGTATTGAGTATGTTTTAAAGAAGAACAGACAATACAATACTCATGTTCTGTATTGATCAGCATATATAATTAAAGTAAGCATGGCAAAATGAAGCTCCTCCTCTTTGATGTCAAAGAGCCCTTTAATAGTAAGCCTAATGCTTTCTGGCATTATCTTGCCAATTTGAGTGAACTACAGATATTTACAAAAAACCTTTTAAACAAAGGTGCACTTTGCCAACAAATCCAATATGCCCTTCATAAAATGTAAGGGGCATACAAGAAACTGAGCTGGAATGCCCCCTACTGGTTTATTAACAGAGAATTTATTTCTTTACACAGATGTCAATACCTGGCGTTCTGACAATAAATCCCTTTAAGTTCAGTAATAGCCTCCCACAGAAAAGGAAAAACCTAACTTAATCGACAGATCATACACAGTAGCTCAGTAAATTAATACTTTAATAATGGTGCTTAAAAGACAACATGTTAAAAGTAAATAGTTGACTAACTAGGCAGTGACACTCCCTCTCAAGTTTGCACCCATTCAAAGCCTTGACAAGCTGATACTTGGGCCTGTTAAATATTTAATACAAAATTAGATTGTATCTTTCAAAAAAAAAAAAAACCACACAAGCCAAATGCTAAAACAAAAATACAGCACAGACCTTAGCTCCTGATCTGAAGGTCACTACACTGTTTCATGGAATTTGAGCAGATTACACTATGTAATTGGGAAAGCTCTGATGGTGGAGAGGATGCTTAATCTTCAACAGTAACAACTAGAGACTCCAGGACAGTTTTATACTTAAGAGACAGTAAAATACAAGCAAGAAGTGATAAATGAAAGCACTACACTCTTCAGGCCACATGTGTTCACAGCCACCTATCATCTTTCAGAAGACACTGAAGTGTTGTTTCTCCCTACAGTTTCCCAATGTAGTTTCAAAGTATCCCTAATCAGGGCTCATTAAAATACTTCAACATAGACATGACAAGTGCATGTATAATCATTACTCTCTGCAGATTTGCAGAGGTAACTACGGACCTCTCATCATGAACTGCTGAAAGAAGGATGCAAGTCACCAAGAGCCACTGCCACTCATCTGAAGACAGTAAAAGAGAATTCTTTAGTACTGAATTGTTTTAATTAAGAAATAATAAAAAAAAAAAAGAGACAAGAAAAAAGGGTGGTTTCCTTTTATTTACCACACTGGCAGAAAAGTGTATCTGTATTTCAGCAGTATCCACAACCATCCTCCAATTCCAGCAGACAACTAAAATTGGTCTCCCAAAGTACACAATCTAGAAGGCATATGTGTAGTAAGAATAGTTTGAAAGTATTAAGGATTCATTTAAGTGTTAAAGATTCGTTTGTATCATGAAAACCTTTAGGTTCTGGAGATTCAAGAGACACAGTTGAAGGCACAATCCTAACTTTAATCCTCTAAAGATTTAGCAAGCCTAATTCAATAGTCCTGCCTTAATCAAGTGTGAAAGGCTTTTATTAAAAAAAAAAACCAAACCCCCCAAAAAACCCACAACCAACCACACACATTTAAATATTTGCACACCATCTACTCCAAATCCATTACAAAACCCGTCGAAGAGGGGATTATTCTATCAACTCACATGTAAGAGGTTTGTCCTTCTTAGAGGGAAAAGAGGGAGGGCAGAGTGCAACTTGCCTTACATTTAAATTATGCCTGAAAAACTCCTCAGAGCCCTGACTACCTGAGATAGCAGATACCAGGGTACCGGAAGCAGGAACAGACACAGGATCAGAGGAGCTACAGTTAGACCCATGTCTGCCCAGTGCATCAGCACAAAGACCTGCTTCAGAATTAATCAAAAAAGAAAGTAGTCCTAACATGCAAAAAGTGTGAGTCTTCGGCAATGCTGAAGTTACTAGATTGAACCTGATCCTAGTCCCTCACAGAACTAAAGACTTCTCAAAAGTATTATTTGAGAAACAGTTCTCAGCAATATTGTAGTCAATGAAATTGTCCATCGGTGCACTCATTCTAAAAAGAGCTGACTACCAAAGGTAAATAGCAAACAGACCACAAAAAGAGGAAAAGTTACATGCTAGCTAAAATGCTCATTTATCTCAAGCTGCAAGTGCCGTGTACACTCAACGTATCTATACTTCACAACATCTAGTCATCAGAATTGTCCCACACAGTCTATTATGTACTTTAAAGTTTCCAAAAACTTCTTGCTTGATCCCAATCAAAATGAATTAACAATATATGTACAATACCTATCGTTCAGCTGCAACATTAGGGCAACTAGAATCAAGCAGCAGTTAAGAACTCCATAGTAGTACACGTCGAATATTAATATGGAGTCCTCACCATTCTTCTACACCCTTAACAGCATAAGCGATTCTCCTTGGAAAAGACAGACAAGAATCAGCAAAGAGAAAATATTTCTTTTTATGGACATACTGGTGCTCAAGGAGGAAATGGGGTGGTGAATATTTTTCAACCAGGAAAAACAAAGTCATCTAAACATCCAAGTGAGAGAGTCAACAATTTGTATTTTGTAGCTACAGCTAAATAAGGATAGTTTACAAAAGGAAAAAAAATGCAGCAACCAGGGAAATAATTTCATTTAAACAATATTATTACTATTAAATCAAATTTAAGCTAATTTAAATAGTATTCCTTCCAAGAAATTGGTGTGATTAAGGCTGGTTCTACACACAACCCTGAGCAGGCTGCTTGGTTTTCAAGCCACTGGTAGACAACAGGCAATATTTAGAATATCTGTCAAATTAGGTGGATTTCAGGAGCGTACGTATCAGAAAGCAATTCCGAGACACCAAAAAGCTTCAAGATTTCAACGGGAACTTCCATCGTGCCACAAGTTTCAGCAAGACCTAAGTCTGTACAGGAACTAATGCTTAGCAATGTCTTGTTTAGAAAACAAAGCAAGAAAAGGGTGCACAGTTTCCCTCTGATTTATTAGAAACACTAGTGCAGCCATCTATATTTTCACATAACAGTAAGTAGGTTACTTATGCCTTCTGAATCTGACAGGATTTTTACTCCATCTTAACCCACTTTTCTGAAGAAAAGGAAGGCTGATGACTAATGCCTAGAAAAAACCCTTGGATGGAGTAATTTTTATTCCTCTGAATAAATTCCTCTGAAGCTGTGTTTCTGTGCAGCTAGAAATGCAAAGACCCACCAGACCAGAGGGAAACTCTTGAGTCTGAAGCCTGTTGACAAAAGAAGTCCTGAATTCTCAGAATGGTGGGATTGCTGCTTAAATTCGATTTTAGCATCCTCTGGATGGGGACAGTAACGCCTACTATTCATAACAAGCTTTCAAGAAATTAAAAGGACGGTGCTTTCTTTATTTTTCCCTTCTCATGGTAGATCAATACATCTACAAGTGAAATAACTGGTCATATTAAATGATTCAAGCTAACACAAAGCACAACCTTTGCTCCAGCTCCAGTGAAATACAGCAAGAAGACTTCACCTAAGCATGTATAACTATACATACAAGTACTCAAAAGCCATAACAGCAGTCCTGAGTCACACAACACTCACCCATGAACAGCGTTAAATACTATAGTAACAATACACAAAATATGCGCACACTATGAAAAAGGTTACACATCTTAGTTTCAGGAAAGAAAACTAAAGAGCTATAGGTGCTTTTCAGGCATAAAGGAAGTGTATTTAATGCTTCAGGTTGTAATCAAAATTAAGTACTCCAAAGCACTTTAACCATTCAGTAAGATAAACATATCCAGTGTCAACTGAAGATATTTCACAGCTAAAATTGCTGGACTGTAACTGTGGAAACAGATCTGGCTGCATTTACTCTTTGTACAACAAGTATTGAATGCTGCTCTCTGGTCAACAGCCTCTTACTCCTTTGCAACAGTTAAACTAACCACAGAAAGCACTAGCTGCAGGTTAGTTTTTTTAACTGTCTTTTCACAGTCTGCGCCTTTGTCTTCCATCTCTCTCTCATACTGCCCAGTACTGCTTGCACCCCTCATCCCACAACATGCAGAAAAACTAATTCAGCTCGAACAAGACACAGAGGGTAGAGTTGAATTCCTACCCCTCCTACTTGTAAAACTAAATTCTTTTTTATTCTATCACCATAACAGTGCTGAAGTTTCCTTTTTATCCCTCATTGCAGAAAGTAAATATAAAACCTTCCACATTGTTCAAAGGACAGCATGGGAAGGGGACAAAAGGAAGGTCTCCTGAAGAAGCCCATTTCTTTAAAATGACAGCAATTATCTGGGAAGACATGATGAAAAGCTCTCAGCATTTGAAACTCAGAGGGACAGAACTGACAGTTTTTCCATGGCTTGACTTCAAGAGTACCACTTAAGGGACTAGTGCTTAAATCCCACCCAATCCCCCCCCATTCCCTTTGATTTGCATTAGTGAATACTAACAAGACTGAAAACGTGAACAGGACTTAGTATTACTAAGTAATATTTAGTAATAATCATTTTTTTCTAAGAGATCTCACTTTTGAAAGCCTTATCACAGAAAATCTTCT